GTTAGTAGGTGTCCGTCTGGCGATCTCGATTTTTGTGTGCGGCTTCTTATGTGGTAACGATGGTGGCTTCGGGCAACCCTGGGTTGCGGCTAAGTTTTGGTAGTCGGTTTTATCTAATGTGTTTGAGGCGTCTTCGTGTCTCACATGTTCTTTCTGAAGTCAAAGCTGCTGAGGAGGGCCTTCATGGTGACGATGGCACGAGATGGGTGGTTGGTTCTCGTGCTTGATTGGCATAAGTCCAAGCTTTCTCTCCAGCTAATCTCATCAACAGAGTCAAAGTTGCTTGGTCGTCGTCGGGTGTGGCTGACTGGTTGGCATAGGCTGTCTCAGGTCTTAGCGCGCCTATTTGTGGGGGAGGGCTATGTTGGTGGTCATCGATGGTGGAGTCGGAATCACCGGCTCACGGAGGAGTGATGACGATAACACCAGATGTCCTCGACGACGCTTCTCTCTTTGACGACGTGTGTGTATCTTTGTGGGTAGCCATATTGGGCGAGTACCTTGTCTTTGCAGGCATGTTGCGGCCATTTTAGTCTAGTTTTTTGTTAATTAACCAGGCAACTATTTTTTTAATGAATTAAGATCCTCCTCGGCCGACTTAAAAAAGTTCCTCCATCTCAAATAGCCACTAAAACACATGACTCAAATATAAACTTAACAATGTCATCAACTGAACACAAGGAGGTTAAATGTCAAACCATCCACATGGCCAATGACATACAAGCCTGCCGTATAATAGAGAGAGAAATCATGTAAAATACATGAGGCCCTAATCATGCCATCTATCTTGTCCCCTGTCCAATGCATGTTGTAGACATAAAGCCCCAATAATAGACACTAACCTATCTATATGCGTTAGTTTGTCTATTTCTATCATCTCCTTTCCTATTTGTGTTATCTCTTCTCCATTTCTGGATTATATATAAGAGAATCATGCCCTTTCCACCACCTCTAGTTCTTCTCACCAAATCTCTTATTACAATTTGCCACAATTTTGAATGGTAACTTCAATGGCTCGAGGTCTCACCATTGTAGTATTCTTGCTAGTGTTTGTTGCAGCGACGATATCATCTACCTATGCGGTGAAACTCCAGGCGGACAATGCCCCTAATGTGGCTGAGGGGCCCGCCGACACTTCTTCTGAGGCTGAGGGGCCCGATGGCCCTGCTTTTGTCGAGATGGTTATTAAGAACCCCTACCCAGCTTCCAGCCTTAACTCACGCTCTGATGGCCTCCCGGTTGACCCAACACCAGATGGGCTCCCTGTTGATCCCACGCCAGACGGCCAATTTAAATAAAAACGACCTCAATGTTTTGACGATTAATGTTTGACACTATGTATGTGTATGTAAGATGATCAAAAGAATTTGCCATGTAGATTTATTTAAGTGTATGTTTTGAAGGATACATGGAAAACTTTGGAGCCATTTCATCTCTCTTCAGGTGCTATAGATTGAAGGGCACTGGTTGTATATCTACCATGTGATTTGTATTGGTCTGCGTTAAAAAATATTAATGCTTAAGAATAAGTACTACTCCATCTGATCCAAAATATAAAAGGTGTATTAATTTTTAGAAAAGTGAATCCACTCTATGTTTGACCCGGTTTAGTGAGAAAATATGAATAACTAAAATACAAAATTGATATTATTAGATTCATCCTGCTATATATTTTTATATTATATTTATTTGGTATGTAAATAGACTTGATTTTCTATAAACTTGGTAAACATAGAAATGTTTGACTTTCTGAAAAACACAATATTCCTTATATTTCGGGATGGAAAGAGTACTTAAGGCCTTGTACAATGGGAGATGCTTAGAGAGATGCTTAAAAAAATAAATCAGGGTTTTTGAAGCACCGGTGCCTATTTCTACAGGAGAGATGCTTAGTTAAGCGTCTATCCTATACAAATAAGCACCGGTGCTTAAGAAAAGCCTGGTTTATTTCTCTAAGCACCTCCCTAAACATGTCCCATTGTACAAGGCCTAAAAGACTAGAGATCTATGGTTTGCTTCATAATTCTAGCCCAAGTAGCTTCATACTCTAGTGGCGCGTGGAGCCGATGTGAGGTTGGGGGTGACTTCATAGCGCCTCAGCTACAATATCATCCCAGGTCACACCGGGTAGCCCCCCTAGCAATCCCACCATCTGGCAGGCTGCTTGCCATGCGATCCTTTAATGCGCGAATGGTGGGCCCTCATGCGCCACCCGTAAATGTGGCCGGGTGGTTGCTGCGAGCACCGTCGCGATGACGATGCCATCGGTGTGATGCATGGCAGGCCCGATGGAGGGGAGAAGTGTATCCCTGAACGCAGCGGCAGCTGCACGCAGGGCATCGACGGCGCGCATGCCGTCGCGATTCGAATCAGCATTGTCAGGAGTGTTTTCAGTTAATGCATGCATGTTGTACAGCAAGGCAACAGCCTTAGCTGGGAAAGCAAACATTTTTGATCTTTTTTATTAGTCGCGGTAATCACATGGTTCATCCATAAATACCAAAAATATCTCTCTAGTTTTATTCCAAACGAAACACTTAATACATTATCAACTTATTATATAAATAAAAAACTCATAAGCAATTTCAACAGTATACGTACAACATAACCAAACTAGCATGGCGTACTTTTTTACAACATTTTTGCTAGGCCACGAACGCCCACGCTGCACATTTTGTCCATGCCCCCAACGCGGACTTGGGTATTTCACAAGTATGGACCTATGTATGTCCTCTTTTCTCGTTTGAACAGAGATTAATGCGCAGATCACATCGCGTGGAGCAGCGGCTGGATATCTGCGTGCAGGACGTCCGCTCTCGACACCTTCTTTGTGGCTTTGTGGGCTGGGTCAGTTTGTCCGGGGTGGGCTTCTTTTTTTTGTTTGTTTTATATCGTTTTTTTCCATTTGAATTTTTTGGAATTAGTAAATTCTCTGAAATTCAAAAATTTATTCACTTCAAATAATATTCATGAATTTAAAAATATTCTTGAATTCCAAAAAAAATTGTGGATTCAAAAGATATTCACAAATTCAATATTATGTTTTTGAATTCAAACAATCTTAGTGAATTAGAAAAATGTTTAAAAAATAGAATATCTTCGGATATTCAAAAATAGGTTTTAAATTTCAGAAAAATATTCCAAATTCAAAAATGTTCATGGTTTCTAAAAATGTTTGCGGATTTTTGAAATTGTTACAGAATTCGTTAACATTCTAAGTCTGAAAAAATATTATGAATTTGAGAGAAAAAATGAAAATGTGGAAAAAATAACAATTTTTTTAAAAAAAAAGGAAAACAACCTAAAAAGGATAAAAAGAACTGAAAGCAAATCAGAACCGAAAAAACAGAAAAGTGGGGAAAGAAACTCAAAAAAGGATCTGGACTCTTGAGAGAAACACATGAATAGTGCCACCACCAGTGTCAACTCTAGGACTTGAACCCTGATGAACTGGGATACCATTGTCATCCTAACTATCCATCCACAGGTTGGTTCACTGATTTTTGTCTTTTATGGGTCACACGAAAAATGTATTTCATGATGAAAATTTATAAAAAATACAGTATAGATTACACGTATGTATATGCTTTTCCCCCAAAAAAAATTCAAAACAGCAAGACATGATTCAAATGTTCGGGCTCCATAGATGAGTTTCCATAAAATAAGGGGCTAATATTCATTTGTGCACTCGAGCTCATCTGATCTTGGTAAACAGTAAAACAAAAAAATACTAGAAAACTTTAAAAAACTGATTTTTTTTCATAGAAGATTTTTTGGTGCGTGAGGTCCATGCAATTTTCAATTTGTCTACACATCTGAGTACCTATTAGCAAAAAAAATCAGCCTCGACAGTCAGTGGCGGAGCCAGGATTCAAGTATAGGGGGGCCGAGTACGTATATTGATCTAATCTCGTTGGTAATTACTCGTCGCTCCTACTAAAATTGTC